TGATGTAATTTCTATTATTGATTCTATTTTTATAGAGGAGTAGGAAATTATCCTAGTCATTCAGTGAGTGGTAGTGAAGAGCTGGGGTGGGGCAGTTAGATACATGTCCCTGGACTCCTGCCATGTATGTGGTTGCTTCTGGCACATGGTGCCACCTCTCTCCAATTCTGTTTCCTTTCCATCCTCCCAGTAATTCCAGTAATTCATATCCATCTTTTAGGGACAAGGGACCCTGCGGGGGTGGGGAATCACCAATCAAGAAAAAGTTACATGTATTTTCGAAGTCTCCAGACCAAAGTCTAGCTGTACAATATGTGGGTGAGTACCTGCTGCTTGCTCTTCAGCAGTGTTAGCTTACTGAATGGTCTCTGGCATTTGTGTGTGTGTTTGGAGAACGTTTAGTTGAAACAAATCCTTAATTATTATTTCTATTCTAACTGATGAAAATATGCCTCTTATATAATAAATAGTTGCTTACCCTAGAGAGTTTATTTTTCACAAGAAAAACTATCAAACTATTCATTTGTTTTATCAATATCATATAGCTGATGAATTTTTACTGTCTGCAGGATTGAGTGAATTGAGAACATATGCTGTCATCTTAAAAAATATGAAAAATTACCAAGTTTTTCTCTGAAAGGGAAGAAAGAGCAGTGTTTTCATCAGTTGTCATCTTACAGTGTGGTCTCTTTGGAGTTATACTTCAAATTTATTCTTACAGTTTCCTATACAGAGATATTGGTGTTTCCCAGGGGTTTGTATTGGCCTTCTCCTCACCCTGTACCTTAGGTAGAAGGAAACTACAGCTGTTTGAGAATGTAGACTTTGGTGTCAAACTTGTATTTGAGCCTTGGCATTGCTACTTTACTAGCTTTTTAACCTGGGCAAATCATTTAACGGCATTTATGTCACTTAAGTGACAGTTTAACTTAAGTATAAAATGAGACTAATAGTTTCTACTACTCAAAGGGTTTCAATGAATTACATGAAGTCCTTAGCATAGTACCTACACAGTAATTAAGAACTCTCATTGTCTGTCCATGTGTATTAATGACTCCCAAATCTCTTTCTCCAACCTGGTCTTCTAGCTGTACACAGGACTTCTCTGTTGGCAGCCTAAGCTTAACCGTTCCCCCTTCAGCATTCTCTGTTGGCTTCCTAATCTTGGTATTGGCATCACTATGTAAATACCTGGCAGTTATGCTGGACTCTTTCCTATCCTCACCCCACTGCCTCAAATCAGTCACCAAGCTGTCTCTTATTTTTCCCTAACATCTAAACTCATTGTCTTCACTATCACCTGCCTTAATTCAGGTTTCCTTCTCTTGAGAATAGATTTTAGTGGTTTCCTTCAAACATAGGCACTTGGTGGACTGCTTGCCTGTAGGTTTTAGATTTTTCTTTCCCATATGATTTTACTACTTCCTCTTATTTATTTATGCTTTTATCTATGTCACATATACTTAAGCAAAATAAGCAGTTTATGTCTTAAAGAACTGTCTTGCAGAAATTTTCAGGGTGAGAAGGAAGCTGCAAGAAAGAAGATAATAGCATTTAGATGGCCCCAGCCAAGTGACTAAGCAGCTAAGGACTCTGTAATATAGTCAATTATTGGTTCTTGCTGCTTTGAAAAGTTGGTTAAAAGTTTGCATTGATGACCTTATCCTTTAGTGTTTGAGAGTGAAAAATGTACTGAACTGTTGGAAACTACCGAAATAATCCACTTAAAGGAAATGTCCAGGATAGTCAAGACTGTTTTAAAGTGGTTTTATGTTAAGATTTTAAGGAGGGCTCAGAGTAAGTTGAATGCATTGTGCTACAGGAAGAGTTTTGGAAAGTTGTTCCAGTAGCAGAACTGCTAAGTAAAAACTAGGATGAAATGGGACATACATGTGAGGCTTCCCCAGCAGGGTTCTTTCTTTTGTGGATTAACTTTTTTAGAATAAGCAACTGAAAACTTCCAGTTTTGCTTGGATTATTTAAATCAGACTTGCTTAGAAAATTTTTTCTTTAGCAATTTGGATAACTTTGTCAGCTTTTAATTTTGGTTTCTATTAGAAACCTGGCAGGTATCAGGTATGGTTAGAAGCCAGTGAATGTAGTTTCATCTGACATAGGCCTTAGGTTGGGAAAACAAATGGCCATTTTTGTTTATTCCATCTGATAAGTGCTTCATGGGATATGAAGAGTTGAAAAAGAGTTTATGAAAAGGGTGGTTAGTGTCATTTTGAATTTATAAATCAGAATTCTACTTCTGGATGAGACTTTTTATAGGCAAAATAACCTTTAAGAAATGTGGGTGTGAAACTGCTAATTTTGGCATTTTTGTTGAAAGAGAATGTACTTTTTGATTTTTTTCCTTTGTCATTATTATATATATCTATTTTACTTTAAAATTAAGATATTTATATAGTATTTGAGTTTTTTCTGATTTATGTTTATAATTATTTTTATAATACATAATTATGTTGATACTAAGCTAAGGATTTATGTTACTAGTGAATAGTTAAAATACCTGAATATCTTTTTCCTTTCATCAATATTAATCAATATTACATGTAAGTTAGTATTTAACATAAAATTTGGTAGGTATTTTCTTGATCAAATTATACACATCATATTGAAACAAATATACTTAAGACTTGAAAAAGCAGATATGTGTTTGCAAAATCTGGTTTAATTGAGATCTGAGAAGGGGTGGGGTGGATGTTGTGAAAATACATATGCACAGAAACCTAATCAATGCTAGACAAACAATGTATTAGCTTACAATATAGTAGGATAATCACAAATTTGAAGGCTCAAATTGAGTCCATTAATGGTGAATACAGTTTCATATTTGGCTCAAGTGGCTGTTGAGTATCAAGTGGTGCTGAGGTCCTCCAAAGCACCTAATGACCCCCCAGCCTTGGAAGGCATGTCACCATAGTCTCAGAAGAAATCCTAGTCATGTCATGCCTTTAACTCTTTTGGCCCTTGGGAGTCATTGCTGCCCAAATACAAATGAGGGCTGGGGATTTCCAGTAGCCACATGTTATTGCACAGAGAGGTCTGTTCTAAGTCAGACTCCTATAGCTAAGGTGTGAGATTAGCAGTCTAGCATTAACATGGTCTATCAAAGGATTAATTAAGAAACAGCTCCTTAGTGATTATGTACCAGCTACTAGTTATCACACTAACAGAAAAGGCAACATGGCAGCTTCACATTTCACATGAAAGACTAGCATTAACTGGGCCTGGCTTGCTGGCTAACTTTCACAAAAATCTAGTGATTAATTTAGACCCAGGAAAAAATGATTCATACCAGTCTCTCCTTCACATAGGCTTGTGTAGCATTAAAATTGTTGTGGGTTAATGACTAGGCCATGAAGGCAAAAATGTTTTACTCTCCTTTGCCAAAACAGAAACAATCCCTGTTCTGACTCCTGTCCAGTTTCCAAAAAAACAAAACATACATACACCTGTTATTGCACATCTTTCACACAGAACTGTGTATGTATAATATACATATTTCTTAAATATGCTACACATAAAAAAAGACTATGGCACTTTACAGGATACATGTTTTACAAAGATCATTACACCACAGATGTCTGAAAATTACACAAAACCCTTATACAATTAATGTAACATTGTTGAATTAGCACACAGGTTTAAAGAATCCACAGAATCCAAGGCAGATATTTCTGCCTTCTGGGGAGTTCACTGAGAAGCCCAGCTCACCACAAAACTTTAAGCGAAAATGAAGACAAAAATAAATAAGACTTTTAGTAATTAATGGTCCAGGTACATTAGATTTTTAGGCTGAGGTGATTAGGTGATAGAAATCAGAAAAATGTGAGTCAACAATCAGTCTGACATTTTTGTTTTTAAACTTCTAACCCATTCCATATTCAGTGGTTTTTAAACTGCTGTGAAGTTTTGGTCTCGAAAACATGATTTTGGATATTCCATTCATTCCCAACTAAAGCCGCTAATGGACTGAAGGTTTAAAAGGCTCAACATTGCCTCTTACTCTGTCTCTGCTAGAGGAATTCCATCGCTGTTTTGCTTACTAAGTCAGTGTTTTAGTTTTCAGTGGTTTGGGGTTTTGTGTGTGCGCATGTACTTTTCTGTCTTCTGCCACGTTCAGACTAAGCAAATGACTTCTGGCCAAGAGAGATCACATTTTCACTTGTGACTGTTGTTATCAGGGTGGTCTAGGGTTACAGCAGTCAGGCAGGAAAGATGATGGACATGCTTGGAGGAGCCTCTGGGCTCAAGACTTAAGTGGTCTGTAAGGAGAGTGTAAGATAGGTAAGTCTTCTAATGATAAATTTAAGAACAAAATGTGTGTTTCTATCAAGATTTGCCTGATAAGGTGAATTCCTTTTTTTATTTTTAAAATATTACTGCGAAGATTTGAAACGTAGTTACTCGGGTACATTGGTTTGAACATAAAAATGCATGATCGGGGATAGGAGCCCTGTCCAGTGGCTGCCATTTAGTTACTCGGGTACATTGGTTTGAACATAAAAATGCATGATCGGGGATAGGAGCCCTGTCCAGTGGCTGCCATCACCTATTTCGTGGCATCAAGAATAGGGTTAATGTTTCCTGAGCTTTACCATAGGTTGCTGTAAGGAAACCTGTTTACCTCCTCTTTTCAAAAAAAGCCACAGATTTACAGCATGCTTCTTCTGAACTTTGGTCTTAAGAATGGTGAATGTATTAAGCCCTGGTTTCATACTCCCACCCCTCCTGCCCTTAGGTTCTAATTTGTGAGATAAGATAGGTTTTTGCTATAGGCCAAAAGCCAGAATGGGGTACCATTTTAGTTGCTCCATTCCACCTAGATAGATATAGATGATAGACAGATAGATAGATAGATAGATAGATAGATAGATAGATAGATAGATAGATAGATAGATAGATAGATAGATATAGGATATAGATAGATGATAGATAGATATAGGTAGATAATAGATGATTGACAGATGATAGATGATAGATATAGATATAGATGATGATAGATATAGATAGATAGATGATAGGTAGACAGATAGATAGATAGATAGATAGATAGATAGATAGATAGATAGATAGATAGATAGATGATAGATAGACAGACAGCTAGCTAGCTATAAAGCAGTTATTTGTTCTGCACCAAGGCATGGTTTTAGACTCTCACAGCTTTATGATTCATTCAGGGCAGGCTTGTAAAATCTGAATCAGGGTTCTATGCCTGGTGGCACTTAGCATACAATACTGTGCCCAAAGAAGGAGTGTGGTAATTAAGTTTTCAAACAAAGCAAGCCCTCAAGTGAGCAGATTCATAAACCCAAAGAGACCTATACTTCTAATTCTTCTAGAAGTCTGACAGGTCCATTCTACTTGGTTAAGTTGTGAAGAAGTGTTTATCATTCTGCAATTCTGAAACTCAGAATAATACCAGACTGGGTTCTTTCTGGCCATTTTCATCATTCCAAAGTAAATGTGAGGTCAGAACTAATACCATTTACCTGAATCAATTATATTGGCAATTTATAGAAACTAGATTAAAAGCCCCTAAATCCTTTACAAATAGGGGTGGTCAGTTCTTTTTGTAAACAGGTATAGGCTGGTGCTGTGAGTTTGGTCTTGCTCTTGTTTTTGCATTGACTTTCTACTCTGTACTTTGCTGGGAATGAAGCCTTTGTGGCAGCTCATCAGGTGCAGCAATTTAACGTTACTTCAGGGTGCTTTCAGGGCCAACACCAGTGACTATAAAAACTTAACTCCTATGACTAGCTTTTTTTTGAGGTTGGAAATACAGCTGACTACTGCATCATCAAACAGTGAGAAAAGGTCTCCTCACAGGTGCTGAGATTCTGGCAAGTTCTCCCAGTGAACATGTGAATGAGCCATAGCTGGCTTGGAGACCTCTCTGCCTGGAATGAGGAAATAGATTTCCTTTGGCAGTCAAAGTGCAGCCCTAACCCTAGAAGAAAATGTGATGTTCAGTGGAAGAAGAGGCTGGGCCAGTACTGGCACTAGCTTGACTGCTGGGAAGCACAGTGAATTTGTCTTCACTAGCAGGATTTTGTACTTTTTTTCGCATGATCACACAGGTCTTTACTCGGAGTGACAGTTCAATTGATCCGCCCTACACTGGAATTCAGCCGAGAATACGTTCCACACCAGGATCCCACACCATCCCTGCTGACTCCCTTTGGTCGGCTAAGCAAGAGACAGTATCTTGTTATGCCCTTTAGCATACATCCTGTCACTGGTAAGTGTGCGCTCTTTGTTGTAGCCTCTGACTGAGATAACTTGAAAGAAACAATACACCAACCCCTAAACTTCATTCTGAGGCAGAGATGCTCACAGGTATGCAGTCTTGTAGCAGACACACATCTCAAAACAGCCCACAAATCTGGTTAACAGTCTCCTGTTTCCGAAGAAATTGCTGCTTTAATGGTTTAGATCATTATCCTTCATTGAGCCTTGGAGACAACGGAGTCTGACAATGTATCAGCTGCATGTCAGGGTTTATGTACAATTTTTGTGTTCCGTCTAACTGCAGCCCTCGTGTGCAGACACTTTGCTTATTGCCTCTCGTTGGCCCTCTTAAGGCTCAGGGTTTGGGGGCTGTGGAATGTGGCTTTGGTAGGTAAAGGCTAGTTCTTCACTTGACTCAAATGACAAAACCAGATGCAGACTGTTACACAAGGTTACACAAGGAAGAAAATGGCATTAATGTCTCTAAAGGAGGCAGATAAGGTTTTTCCCCTCTTCGATTTCTTCCTGTACTTTGTCACTGGAGGTTGCAATTTCTGCTTGTGCGGAGAAGACAGCACAGAGAAAGGTGAGGACTGTGCCACCAATGGCTGTATAAAAAGCCCAGCCCAAGGAGCAGTCTCCAGGTTTGTAGGCTGACGCATAGTGTCCGCAGTAGCTTACGGCCTTCTGGCAGCCCCAGCCCGCTGGGTAGAGTATCAGACCGAGGATGAGGAAGAGGCCTGCAGGGTAGAAGAGAAAACAGGTGAACACCCCCCACGGCTCTGCAGTGCAAAGTTAGAAGCCACACAGGTTTGTCATCGTCACATCGTCACCTGCTTATTTGTCTGCTTTGAGCTGTGGCGCCCATTCTGCAAAAGCAAGTGTTAGGGACTATTTTATGCAACTAATTAGGCCTCATTAAGAAATATCACTTTATTTAGAAATATTTTTTGCCTCTTTTGTACATCTTGGATGTGAACCCACTAATAATTTCTCTACCAGAAAAGCAAGTTGACTTGTTATTTCTCCCCACAGAGCTCTTAGTAGTGAGCATTTCCCCTTTGGTCTAAGGCAGAGGTCAGCAAACTAAGCCCCACAGGTCAGGCATGGCCTTGTTTTTGTAAGTAAGGTTCTGTTGGATTGTGGCTCTGCCCATTCATGTATGGACTACCTCTGGCTATTTCTGTGCTGGACCAGCAGTGGAAGTAGCTGCTGCAGACCCTATGGACTACAAAATATAAGATATATACTATCTGGCATTTTGCAGAAAAAGTTTGCCACCCCCTGGTCTAAGGGACTTCACACAGATCCATGGTTAAATGCAACAGATCTGATCTTAACTTGAATGTCAGTACTTTAAGTAGGCCCATGAGGAGTCTGTGTGCTGGCATCCACCAACCACATACTGGCCCAGAGATTTCTGTATTTATATACATTTAGAAACAGATTATAAATTGCATAAGAATTTTCTGTCTGAACACTTTTAAGTGGATTCAGCCATGAGCAGACACTAATCTCTGCTTCTGTTTTGCTCACCCCACCACCCTGTCATTCTAAATATCTGCTTTCCTACTTCTTTTGAGCTCACCATGTAACTGAGTTACTTTTCCTGCCAGCACTGGTTGATTAGGAGCTCTCCAGGCCCAGGACTAAGAGGGAGTCACTTTCTGGTGTCTGCTCTGTGCTTGTGGGAAGGAGCCTTTCCCCAGTCCTGGCCCCTACTCACACACGGCAGAAGGAGATATATAAGTCCAGAAGCTGAAATGGCAAAGCAACTGCAGGCGCCAAAACTTTCTTGGTAGAAAGAATGCTGCAAGAGGGTGGCTTTATTCTGTGTGGCAGGAACAAACAATTTTCCCTGAAAAATGATGCCTACCTGATCAATTGCTGATTTGTAACCAAAATGACCTGTGTTTTAGATACCTTGGAATAGCAATATTATCCTTGTAATTTAATCTTGGCTCTACATTCTCTTTTCCTACATTTGCTGAAATTCTCTGGGTTTATCAAACCAAAGCTTCCAAGCCATTTACAGCAACTTCCCCACAAAACAAGCATGATGAATATGTGAATATGTGCTACTATGTGGTTTAAAGGAAGGTCAGGGACAGTGTTTCAAACCACAGGTCACAACGTTCATAGAGCTGTCTTCAGCCTGTGATGGCATCTTCTTGCCAGACCTTGCAGTCCGTGCTGGCGTGGGTTTTTGGGTCTGACTTTCCCTACTTCTGAAATTAATCCTATTGTTCTACTCTGAAGGCCTCAGGGAACTTTCTAGCAAGGGTGGAGTTGAGGGAATCTGTTTACCTGCTGTCTGAAGAAGGGTGATTCCTCAAAGTAGTCTTACTAACCTTGTAACCCTCTACTTCTCCAGAGGTAAGAGTACTGGGAGCATGGAGCTAAAACCTTCAAGGTTAAGGCAGCCAGTGGAGAATGGGTTGGTACTCTGGACTATGCAAGGTCCTGAGCCAGCAATCTTGGTTTTGGTGTCAATTCAAAGGCTAGAAATCACATAGCAGAAAACCCCTATAGTTAGTATGAAGCTAGAACCCAAACTAGCAAGATAAGGGATCGCAGCAAAGGCTCACTAAATTAAGAGTTGGGTCCGTTAGTAGTTAAGAGCTCTGAGTTTGGAGTAAGTTAGAGATTTGAATCCCAGCTCTGCCATCAGTGAGCTGGGTGACCTTAGAAAAGTCTCTTGAACTGTCTGATTCCTCACCTATAAAATGGGCTAATTCTTAATTCATAAGGTAGTCGTGAGTATTGAAGTCTGAAAAGAGAACTTTCTCTGTCCACAGCAATAACAACAATGAAGCAGATAGACTAGCACCTGGCTCTAGGTTAAAGCCTTTGAAGAGTAAACTAGCTGCACAGATCTTACTAGGCTGGGAGACCTAAAATTACTGAACAGGTCTGTAATAAATTCCTACCTTATTACCTGGAAAACCTCACCCAAGGTACATGGAGTTTCAGTAGTTTCCCCCTTCGGGTCCTACAGTACCACCCTGGAAACTATGAGGCACCATGGCTTGATGTTACAAGAACCCACAGGTACTGTGGCCTGCAGCCTCTGTGGTCAGGCTGCAGTGTGGGCCCTAGGAGGGGCTCATTGGCTGCTCTTCCCTTTAAAAGACCAGAATATTCACATTTGGATTGTGGCTCCAATTAAATATTGTACACATCATTTGTATTATGTGGCTTACAAAAAGCCCATTAAGTAAAATTAGTGCATTTTAACATGGGGACTGAAGACAGAAAGCATGGAATTTGCTGTCACATAGCAGCTCTGCTGCTCTGTGCAGGGCTTTAGCTGGTTGTAGGACACACAAAATACCCGAGTTCAGCTGTATCATATACTTCTGGAAGTAGGCAATGTTAAAACAAATAAAGTAGCCCTCATTTTAATAAAAGATCCCTCTCACAGCACAGTCAGGAGCATTCACTCCAGTACCACTTAGTTCTCTCAGCATATACCTTTCTGAGATAAGGCTCCTGAAGTGTCCTCAGGCCATCTTGAAATCTTGTGGCTGCTACTGGCCAATTAGGGAATAAGGATAGCAGGGAGGCAGCCTATACGGGTACCAGGCTTATGAGCTTATCCAAAGCCTCAGCTTGAACAGAAGCCCACAGGAGGTCTACATGGGAGGATAATAAGAAGTGAGCTGTGGTATGTGATGTATGCCAAAACCACAGGCTCCCAACTTGGGCAGCCGAACGGGAGAGGCCTTACCTGAACTGTCAGAGGGCCAGCAGGAGGGAGAGGCCATGTCTACCTGCCCTGGCTGGTGGACCTCTCTCCCAGCACTCATCAGAGTTGTCATTAGCATGGTTGCTGCCATGAAAATGCAAAGACCTATGTCTGACTGAGAGAAATAAAATGGTCTTCAGGTAAGCAAAAACAAAACAAAACAAAAGAATCACCACATTTGTCATCTTTCTGAGTATTTAGAAAAAGGCTCTCTACCAAAGGAATTTCAGAAGTTTAGAAAGGTGGCCCTCTCAGGGGATGCCATACTCAGTCCTCACCACATAAGGTCCTGACTCTCTAGGGGTCTTGGGGCCCAGTGCAGCTTCTAAGCAGCCATTGCAGGACCTAACAAGCATTCCTTAATCATGAACATCAGCCCAACAGATTCTTTCTGCTTCCTAGTAAAATAACTAGAAAAAGCTCATAAAGTTCTCCCTTCTTTCAGTATAAAATCCAGCCTTTTCTCCCTGGCCTTCAAGGCCCTATTACCTTTCTGAACTCCCCTCTGCCCTTCTCAGCCTTGAACTTTCTGCTCCAGCCCATGCTAGTCATCTGGCTCTTCTTCCAAGTAGCTTCCAGGCCATGTAGTCTTCTGTTCCTTTCTACTTAGTTCCAGGTGTAGTCTTCTGTTCCTTTCTACTTAAATTTCAACCACCAACCTGTCACCTACTTGCTATGATCCCTCCTTTATTAGTTCTCCTTAGCACTTAATACTAACGTAGAATATATCTGAGTCATAGGAAACTGTCAATAACTATTTCTTACCTGAAAAAATGGCCATTTCATGTAGTTCAACCTAATATTTTATGTAGTTATTTTGATTGTTATTCATCTCAATTGTAGACTTTAAGCTCCATGAGGGATGGATTTTTGTATACCTGGCTTACGATTACAAAGCCAGTGCTCAAAAGAGTACCTAGCACACAGTGGGCAATTAGTAAATTTCTAAATCTGGGGAAACAGTAAAATAACTGACAAGTCCTAATCAATAAGAATGAAATGTGTCAGCAGGAGAGGAAATGGAGATTCTCAGTTGGCTGGCTTATCCTAGAACACTGCCTGCCCTGTTCTAGGCCTGCAAATCCCAGAGTTTAGAAGCAAACTTGTGCTCCGAATTCCCAATGGTCTGCATGACACCAACTAATGAGACAGAATTAAAGTCCATGACTTCTTAAAGGGGTGTGTGTGACATGCAGGCGTGAGACTGCAGGCCAGCACACTGGGTCTGTGGCAGACCCAGCGTGGGTTTCCTGGCCCTTAGTTTGGGGTGTGCCCAGCAATGATCTGCTTTGGTTGTGGGTCATGGCCAGAGGTCAAATAGAAGGTGAGGTGTGTTCTGGATGGAGTTTCACTTAAGAGCCGAGCCAGAAAATGGTGTGCTCTTCTACAGCTATTAAAAAGCAGTTCCTGAAGTTAGGTCAACCTGTAGTCCTCCATGCAGCCTTTCTGTCACCTTGTTTTAATGCATCATTGTTCAGGGGTGTATGTGTGTGTTTTGTGGAGAGTAAAAGAGAAAGTAAGGGATTGGACAGTGGATTTGCTTTTCTTCTGATTGGCATATCTTCCCGATGCCTGGCTGAGCAGTGGCAGGCCCTGCTGGGAGGAGGAAGAGAAGCAGGGAGAATGATACTGGCCAGCAACCAAAGAAAAAAAAGAGCTACTGCCAAAGAAACCCACAAGTAACTCAGAGGCTGGTAACTTTTACTATGGTTCAGCCTGACAGGATGGTACCGAAGAAGGTACCATTTTCCACAGCCTTGAAAGACTTCCTCATCCTTATGTCCTAACAGCCTCCCAGGTGGTTGTATCAAGAGGAGAAGATGCCAGCATCTATTCACCATAGGATCACCTCAAGGATGAGTCAGCCTTTTCTGGGGAAGAAAAAAATAAATGAACTGATGGTTGGTTACTTGGACTTCCCTATGGATGCCAACACATGCTGGAAACGACCTGGACGTCACTGAGGCCCACTATATGGCACTGCTGTCACCT